ACGTTTCGTTAAAAACTGACTTATCACAAAAAAATAATTTTTAAAAATTATTTAACTTATTTATATATGTCATATATTATTGACATATTAAATAAACTAAAATTTTTTTAAGGAATATTTTGATATTTTTTCTTGAACATTTGAATTCATTTTTTGAGTTTTTAAGGTCATAAACATCCTAGCCCTATAATTGATTATACTTATTACGTAATATATACTTATACTAACTTAAAAGTAAATTAATTAATTTTAATAATTTTAATAAATCTTTTGTTATTATCTATAAAGTAATGCGTGTTTTAATTTTTCATACAAGGTGTAGTTTAAAAATATAAGTTTTTACAAATTCAGTTATTTTTGTTAGTTATTAAATAATTATAATGTTGTATTAAAAACTGATTTAAGAATTTGATTTTGTTTATTATTTATTGCTTAGGTCCTTACTTTTATAAACTCTTTTAGAACACCTATGATTGCTTCACATACTTCTGGTACTGTTCTTGGAATTGTTTGTTTTGAAATTTTCAATACATATGATAGGGAATGGTAAGAGTCACCTGTTGCCAAGAATCTCGAAGGTTATATCCAAGCGATCATGTGCAGGTATATCTTTTCGAAAATAAGTGTAACTTTTCGTGATACTAGGAATTACCAGGTTGACCCCCAAGTAATTCATTAAACAGAGAAAGTGATATCCTAAAAAAATTTCTGAAACCTCCATCGATCTATAATCCTAATATTATTATATTATTATATTATTATTATAATTATTATTATATTATAATAACAGAAATGTCTGTTATTAAATCAGATAAAATATGATATAAGTACTGTATATTTCACGACTTTGATTGCTACATAATAAGATTAGCTTTTTTTAAATTTTTTATTTTTCGCAATAACAATGAACGCTGCTGTAGAAAATAATATGTCATGGTCGCACGACATTTTAGTGAAAACTAAATTAATTATCTGATTTATACTGATAATATTCTGTTGCTGATAGAAAGCCGATTGCAGTGGAAACAAGTAAGGAAGAGCGGCTAAAGCCTAGACGCATGCAGTGGGGATGCACCTTCAAAGGTAAAAACTAGGTAGGTACCTAATAAATAATAATTTACCTCTGAATACTTTTTTAAAAGCATTAATACTAATTTTTTTTATTGGTCTTAAAATCAAACGTTTTTGATTTGAAAACTAAGGCAATTAGCACTACACTTGCATGTATGAATTTACTAAATATTTATTGGGTAGGTAATGCACAAATATCGATTTTGAGAAAAGACGGTCTGTGATTAATAGCTATAATACATATTTGAATACAAAAATTGAATAATTGCACCTACTTTAAATACAATTATTCAATGAAAATGAACAAAATACTCAAGAGCTGAAATACGAACAAATTACTTGCTGCACGACATTTGCATAGTAAGAAATGAATATATAAAGGCGCAGCTAAAGAGGATATGCCAAATTTATTTATTGGAAAACACAAGGACGTATGAACTAGAAAAAGATTCGATCTCACAAACCACAGTGCTGAAAGTTCCAGTCAAAACTCATTGACTGTTGTCCTGGTAATTTCAATAAAAAACAAAATCATAATAAATATGCAATAGTATCATTAAAAAAAAAGCGGGTAAGCAGGTACAGTAGGTTACAAGTGGGGCACTGTAATTAATTAATTGTATCCATAAAAGGATGGTGTTAAATTTGAATTGAATGATAAACTATCGTTGTATACGAAAAACGATTCAGAGTGAATACCGTCTATATACCTATAATATTACTTGGTAATTTAGTACTTTTGATGACATTACTGTGATTAAAGTAATTTATTTTATTATTACGCATTAGTACTGCAGTATGTTAAATTCATTTTTTAGCCCGAAAAAATTACGTTTGAAAAGTCATTGCGGGTATAGAACATAATAATATACCCCAAGAAGGTTTCAAGTAGGAACCCACGAATAATATTTTTAAATTACAACAAAATAATTTAAATCATTATTCTTGGTTATTTAATAATGAGTCATTTCATCCGAATTTGAACATAAAAAAAAACTGTGTTTATGTGTTTTTAGATTTTTTTGTTTACAGAAATAACCACTCGTTTTAAATTTATGATCCTTAGCTATAAAAGTTGATATTTTTAAAATATTTAACTACAAAACAATTGGTTCATTTCCAATTCGATAAATTTTGTCAATATTTGAACTTTAAATGCTTATAAAACAAAATCTGGGTTATGTATTTTTTAATATTTTTCAACATATATTATAACAATATATTAGGAGTCTTGTGTTAAATTGTCAAGATTTTCGAAAAAAAGAATCAAATGTTATTGACAGTTAAAAAATAAATGCTAAAAAAATTGAAAATTGAAAATTTCCGTTAACAAATAAAAACATCATACAAATGTAATCAAGTATATGAACTGATAAAATATATACGTGGTATAAATTTCAAGTATCTACAGATATTCATTTTTGAGTAACAACAATATACGAAAATCGCTACAGAAGAAATATATTGAATATCCAATTAATGTTTTAAAAATTTCAACTTCAAATGATCTTTAAAAATGTTATTTGAGTTTCCAGTAGAAATTTTATTTATTTATAGGTGGACGAACTTTTAAGGATTTTTGGACTAAATTTAAAAATCTTAAATATAAAAGATACATTTTTATGAATTTCTAACTGAAAATAATTTGTAAAGTTTAGTGACTTGTAAGAATTTTGTCAAAATTCTAAATTCAAACGCTCATAAAAAAATATTGTAGATAAACCTTCAACTTTTTTGGCAACTTTCACTAACGAAAATTTCTAACCAACAACCTTGTATTATATTTTCAAAACTTAAAGATCGTTCGAAAATTTTTTTATCAACATTAAAAAAAACTAATAATGATCGAAAGTTTCATTTGCCTATGAATATATAGTTCGACACGAGTTAAAGTATTTTAAAAACTTTTTGCTATATAGAAAATGCTGATATAAATATTTATTGGAAACGTCATGTATGCTCGGTATTTATTTTTTTTAAAGTTGCATCAAAAATCAAAATAGATTTGAAAACCGAGTTTCCGTAAAAATTCCTGTCTCTCCTTATTTTTTGTGTGTGTTTAACTGCCGCTTTATAAAACTGAAGGGCATTTTTAACTTATGACTGCCCTAAAGTAGCAACTAGATTTATTTTCCTACCAGAAAAAGTGTTTTGAAGGAAATCGAAGCACTCATTTACTGTCTCAAAAGGTTATGACCGACACAAACAAAAACACTCATCATAACAGCTGTACGAGGAACAAATATGCATCAAACATTTATTTGAGTTTTTTCAAGACAAAATAAAATTTTCAATATTATAACTCTTGTGATATTCATAAATATTTAAGAGTTTTAACGTATTTTAGCTAATACTTTTAGCTTCTGGTAGCCTAGTTGTAATTTGGAGGTGATTTATGAATTCCATGTAAGTTTTCTGTCCAAAATTACACCGAAGTATGGGAATACTACAAAATACTCTATATATAAATTCATTGTGTAGTATAAAAATCTACTTTCGATAAAAAAAAAAAACTAAACTAAACTAAAGCTACTACCAATTACATCAAAATTAAATTATTCGTAAATCATAAACATACAAATATAAAATAATTGCAACATAAATAAACAGTTGTATTTTAATTATTTTAGTAAAATGTATAGTAAAGGTATTGTTTTCTTTTTTTTAATGGTTCTAAATTAAATTAATATACCATTATACTTGCGTATGAGTAGGTATGTGGGGCGTGTAACTTTGAATTTGAAGTATAGCAAACGGAGAATGCAATTTTTGATTGTTTCAAAATTGTGTACATATATTAATATTTTAATTTGAGTACCAGAGTAAAGAGGCATATTAAGAGATAGATGATATAATTTGTTTTCTTAAATAATTCATTTTTATTCGTAGCTAATCGATATGGGAAATTTAGAAGGATTAGATAATGTAAATGTTTGAACAAAATCATTTAAAATTGAAAAAAATAAACTTACTCTAAAATTTATATCAATACTATGATAGACACTATTCCAATTAATAGCATTTATTTAAGTAACGGTTTTTTGTATAGTTGACTTTATTCCAGTCATGCAAATAGTATATCACAATTACAAAAAAAAAATGTGAAATTTGAAGTTGAAACTCTTTGTCAGTACGTATATTATTATTTTTGTTTATTTTTGACTTTTGTGTACATATAAACACAATAATGACATAATATTTTCAATGTATTTTGATTTTAGATTAGTTTTAAGATAATTACCTGTATCACGAACCTATTCACACCGTTCTATTTTACATTGGTATTGAAGCACTATTACTGAGATATGGAGATACCGTGATGACAGACATAAAAATAAATAAAAATGAAAAATGGCACATTATTGTAAAATCGATTCATTCATTGCTCCGCTCAGAATCTAAAATGTGTAATCGGGGCAGCAAAATCCTAAATATTCCTTGCGGCGGATTGGTTAAAAATGAATTAATTTCTTTTAGCGAAACAGTCCATATCAAAAACCAGCTGAAAATGTAGTCTATCGTCCCACTATTGTCAAGTATGTACCTAACTATAAGAAATTTATTCAATATTTATCATACTATCATATATTTCAATTTTATTGATTTTAATTTTTAGCCTTGTCGTGGGTTTCTGCCAGCCACTATTGGACATGACTGTGGTAAGCAACGAAAATCTATTGAAAATGTACTATCTGAAGAGTAACGACGCAGTTTTGGCAGTCAAAAAAGTCAAAAACATATGTGCATATGTGAAGAACTAGAAAATGGTTCAGGTTAAAACTCATTGGGATTCGTCCAGGTAATTTCAGTAATCAACTAAAACAAATTAAAAATATAATCTGACTATAAAAAATAAAAAAATAAAAAAATTATATAGGCACCTTGTCGGTGTCATAACCATTAGGAGAACCGTGTCACTGTGGTAATATTTATACATCAAGCACAAGATTGTCTCCTCTTGTCATTCCATGTTGTTTTATGATGTAAGTTGCTCCATTTATTGCAGAGTGGATACAACTTTTAAGCGGGTAACCCAAAACATATTTAGCGATGAATGCTGTAATAAAAATTGTTTTTAACACTGAGAAATTATAATATTGTTTTAATATTAGATTGATGGTAATCTTACCACCGATAAAAGCATCGCCCGCTCCGTTCGTGTCCACAATATCTTGCTCAGGTATTTCTGGTACTTCAAATTTTGAAACTAGACCCCCTATAAAAAAAAATTTCATAGTAATCATTGGTATTCTTTAAAGTATGCTAAAATACCAAAAATCTGCGTACGCTTGTAATATGCTGACCTACCGAAGAATATGACATAGTTAGGTCTCTATCTGTCATACTTACTCCTATTTACGCCCATTGGGAGGGGGCAAGATAGAACACTTGCATCGTCATAAAGAACGAAAAATATTAACTCGTAGTTCAATATATATTACTGGATATTACCTAATTACCAAGACAAATCATTTTTGAAATCACTTTAAAAATATTGAAGAAGTATAAAAACACACTATTTTTTTCCATACTTTTTAAAATGTTTTTTATTTAACTATATACATGTAACAATACAAATATAACGTGCTTATTTACACTTATATGTGAAAATATAATTAAATCTTTACTATCTTACATTTAAGAATTTTTTATTTTGACCCTCCCTAAAATTTTACCAATGCTTACTCTTACATGTTATGTTATATTTTTATTTAATTTTAGTGCAATAAAGTAACTGTGACTGAAGTTAATAAACGATATATTTCACTGGCGATACAATTCTATAAGAACTAAACACCCATCGTGATTATTTGTAATGATCTATGTACCACGCGGATTCAGATGGTATCGAAATTCGTGATATCCGCTAAGACCCACGTACATTTAAATATTATATTATTTTAACCTGTGTTGTGTTCTTCTACCTATCTGTGTTAAGCAACAGATTTGTTGGACTGTCAACTAGAATAGGAATGGTAGCGGTCCATATTAAAACACAACATGACAGTTATCTTGAAATTGTATGGGATAACGTAAAAACAACATAACAATTTATAACGTAACTTCGAAAATACTGGATGATCGTCAGCAATACATCAAGCACATTTTAGTTTAATATTATGTTGTTGTCAGTCAATAACTGTTAATTAAAAAAATATGGTAAACATCCGTTAAGTTTTTTTTGTAGGTATAGCATACTTTGCCAACGATGTAACGGTAGGTTACATACAACACGACTAGGTATACCAAAACATTTTAGCTGTTATAAGAATTATACTCATGAAAATACTTACTCAGAGCTACAATAACTGGTTTATCGTCTTGAGTAAAAATAACTAACCGATACCCTTCTTTGCCAACATTAAACGTACTCATCTTGCGGGCTATCATTTCTATATCGGTTGTCTCCCAGTTATTTGCAAGGGAAAATGCTTTAGCTTCCTAAAATTTAAAATATATTCTATATTAATAATTATTCACATTATTTACAATGAATTTAATTAATTATATTCACTTCAGCATTCCCGAATATAATATTTATGTATGGAAAAATAGACATAACGGAATCGAGATACAATTCGTAAATATATGGAGCACTCATGTTGAACAACAACGGACAATTCCGTTTGTCGGCGATTTTTCCAATTTTTTCAACCGTGCTTGGATTCGATACTGAGAAAAAACCCTTAAACAAAATGAAATTATAATTGCTTATCATTTTTTTAAAACACCGGTAATTTATTTTACGATATATTAAAATTTAAAACAATAATACACAAAAGGTTTTCAATCGATTTTATGTGTTTAAAATGAAAAAATATTTCTATCGATTTGACGAGTTAAAAAAAAAAGAATTAAATATTATGCGATTCAAAATCACTTACAGTCACTAGATACACCTTTGCATTTTCAACTATTTTCTTGTTTTCTGGGACTTCTAAATGGTCATCTGAGAAATTCCTCGATGCACATAAGTTAGCACATAGCGATCGGTCTTTTCCATTGTTTGTCACAATGACAGCACATGTTCCTGAGTGAAGTGATAAATACAAATTAGGTACATATTTATAAATTACACAAACTTGTTGAAGGAAAAATAGTAATTCAATATTCACCGGTGGGTTTGTCAGAATGGTATTGGTATTTTACGTCCAGTCCATCCTGGGTCGCCACGCGTTTCAAAATTTCGCTGTACCGATCGTTACCGACAGCACCAAAAAACGTAACCGAATTCGGTTCTCCTAATACCCACTAGGGAAACAATATTTTTTTGTTTTAAATTTTGTATGGTAAGATACAAATGTTATGTACAAACATTATGTTTTTCCATTTGTTTTAGTCTGTTATTGAAATTACCTGGGCGAATCTCATTGAGTTTTGACCGGAACCCCCAGCAGTGTATTGTACGGTCGGGTCCTTCTCTAGTTCTTCATAGATGCCTAAATTTTTTTCGCATGCCAACACTGCGTCATTACTCTTTAGATCGTACTTTTTCAACAGCTTTTCGTCGCCTACCACAGTCATGTCCAATAATGGCTGGCCGAAACCCACGATCATTCCAGGCCTAAAATCAATAAAATCGAAATATATGGTAATATGATAAATATTGAATAACTTCTTATAGGTACATACTTGACAATAGTGCGGCGATGGACTACATTTTCAGCAAGTTTTTGACATGGACTGTTATACTAAAAGAAATAAATTAATTTTAAATTGAAATACTTTATTAAAAAGTTTGTCACCATCCTAAGTTCTCAATAAATTTCAGATATCTTACACATGCGCAGGGCTAAGTGTTGCGCAGTCTTTTGGTTCCTGGCTTTAGCATATTCAAAACTAAAGTCTATCAAAATGTAACAGACAATTTTTATTAAATTAACATTTAAAAAAAAGTATAAATAAAACATTTTAAAATTGTATAGGTATTTGGATATTCGAGATTAAAAATTTGAACTAACCAATGATCTGGAGTCCTTTTTTAATAATTTGGAGGGTCCCTCATGCGTACTAATACATGCATAGTGTAGGGCATAGCCAAGTAGGGAAATTATACATACTTTATTGGAAACATAGGCACTGCAAGCCTTTAAGCAAACCATAAATGATATTCCTCGAGAAAAACTCATCAGAAAGTTCGCAATAGAAACGTATTGTTGAAATCAAGTCAATTCAAACCAAATCCAAATAACTTTGAAAGATTATAGCACTTCACAGTGTAATAAACGCATGGAACAGTAATAGTTTAAGAAAAATATAATGTTATGTTTTTTTTTTTTTTATAATAAAACAATAGTTTTCAATCATTAGCAACAAAATCATTTTTTTTTATATATATATTCTATAGGGCTAGAACGTTAAAATACCTAAAAAAAATTGTTTGATTTGTTTTATTTTTATTTTTTTATAAATTTGCACAAATATAATTGAATATCTATCCAATAATCTTGTTTAAATTCTGATATTCTAGAGATGAATCTACTGGATTTACAATTAAATATTTTTTTGTGTGTCCGACATAACTTTAAAAGCAGTAGACATGCAAAATCTTTAATTTTACAAGAACTAGAGCTGCTTTTTAAAATTATTTTAAGAACAATTTCGAAAACCTAGTATGTATCTATGCAAAAGTATTTATTGGAAAAATCGATTTATTTTTTTATTATACCCATAAATTATTCAAGAATGAACCGTCTTACATACTTGAAAGTTGAAATTGTCTTCAAATACATATATTAGCATTGTAAGACATTGAAAAAATGTTAAAAATATTTTATCTCTTTATAATAGACATTTTTAATTTCAATTTATGTATGGCAACAATTTTATTTGCTAGTAAAAATGCATGTAGCTTGAAAATGCATCTAATATTAGATTTCCCATAAGTTTTCTTATATGGCAAAAGAAGAATATCAAAAATACATACTCACACTTTTTTTTATTCGTAAGTACTCAAATAAATAAGTTCAATAAATATAAAATTGTGAAATAATTCGTCGAAATCAAAATAATATAAATACTTATGTAAATTCTTTTGTATTTCCAAATTTCTAACATTTTTGATTGTAACACCTATGTAAGGGTTGAACATTTAACACAATAGTTTTCTCATGAGTATTTTCACTTTATTAACTTAAAAACATATGTTCAGCGGATTACCACTTAATTTTTAATGAGCATTTGAAGTTCAAATTTTGACGACACTGCGGTTATTTATATGCCATATAAGTAATAAAGTTAATCCTCAAACGATGTTTGTTATTATTCAAAGAATAGGTACTAACTGTTCAGTTCAGCTATTGTCTCTCACTGTCTCAGCGAGAGACGAAAGTGTACAGTGCACTTAAATAAATTGTCTAGACAAATGGTAAAATATACTAATATACGCAAAACTGTAACCGATTTAAATAATAGAAAAAACTAAAAAGACTTACCTTAAAATATGTACACCACAGCCGTGAGTACTTAATCTTCTTTTATTTTTCCCTCCGAACTGGAGGTACTGATTTTTATGAAATCAACCAAAAGGTAATGAAATGTACGTTCATAATGTAGTATTTCATTAATTATATTTGCTTATGGTTGTAAGACTTCACGCTGAAATTATTGGGATGGATAATTTTATCTACGACAGTTGTCGTTTACCATAGATAATAATGTAGATATCACTATGTCACCATATACAATTTATGTTCTTATGAAGTCTAAGAGATTTTATAAATTTACCGCATCAAATGATATCGCGCTTAATTATAAAAATTTCAAACGTTTAAGCATACATTCTTCGTGGTTTTATGTAGATAATAGATATACCTAAAACTTATTCGTATTGTCTTACAATGGACAACTGATATATAAATACAATGACGGAGTGAATGTAAAAAAAAATGTAGTGTACAATTTTTAGTGAATTCAAAAACCTTTTTTTTTTGTGTCATGGTTAAGTCGAAGTATACAAGAGACGTTAGTGTTTATAAGAAAAAAATGATTTAAAGGATATCTTCCCTTGTGTGGATATTGCTTTAAGAATGTTATTACTTATTATAATGCACTCCAGTTAGTACCTAACTGTCCAACTAAGAGATCATTTTTAGCACTAAAACGCATTGAGTTATACTTGAGATCGAATATTGGTGAAGAAAGACTATCTACATTATAGTAACTATGAACATAGAAACTGATATCACTACACTAATAAACTATGATGATGTAATTCAGGAATTTGCTCAAGAACGTTCACGACGAAAGTTATAACAGAATTTTTTTAATATTTTTTATTGAAATATATCAATTATTATTTTTAAATTTAAAATATGCTTATAACAATTATTTACAAAAAATATTTAATATTAAATGTATATTTATAGTGGGTGGCGAGGGGGGTGGGCACTTAATGTCTAACTGCATGCACCACTGCCCCCCTGCTTACATTGACACAAAAAAGTATTTTGCACCAAGTGAGCTTCATCTTTGCGGGCATCGCTGGTCGGTAATAATTATTATCACTGCGTATTTTACAAATCGACAAGATAGTAGATACCTAGGTACCCCAGGTAAGCACTAAGTACTTAGAAAATGTTTTAAAAGCAAGACGTAAACTTCTGAAATTAAAATTGTTTAGATAAGAATGAATTGTTATAAAAAAATATTTATTATAGGTATAGGTAACACCTGTTAGGTATGCCTATTATAAAAACAAAACTCTTATAAAAAAAACGTTGTAAATTGTTGTCTTACTTAATGCGTTCCAAACAATGGTTTTCATTTTGATTTATTAATGATGTATGAACCGTCGTAAAAATTATCTTTGTAGGTTTTCATTAAAATTTGGTGAACATATTGACATTTTCCAAAGTTGGCTGAATAAGTAATAACTAGAAAAAAAATTGTCTAAAAATTCAAATGGATGTACTACTGTCCAAGGCTGGGCAAGTTAACGATTTTTTTTAACTCGTTAAGTTAAGTTAATATAAGAAAAAATAAGTCTAGTTAAGCTAAAAGTTAACTATAGTATTTTTTATAACTTTGTTAAGTTAAAAATTAATTAAGTTAAAATTAACTTAATAATAAATTTAATTATTTTAGAATCTGTAAGGAAAATAGGTTACCTACAAAATGAATGACAAATTTGAAAGTTGTGTCAAGTTCAGATTTCTGCACCCATGCGTGGCCAACCATGTAGTATGCTTAGCAATAATTACTTATGATTTAGTGTGGGCATTTAAAATAGTATAAATAGTAAATACACAAATTATACAAGTTCTACTACTTTAATAATTTCAGGTAATAAGTAATAACGTACTTCTCGGGATGTGTGGAGTATGAATTAAAATGTCACTAGGTTGATTAATGCCTTGGTTTACAAGAAAACTAATTAAGTACACGAACGTCGCGACCCATATACAATTATATGACTAAATATAAGTATAAATTTAGATTAATTATTTATTAATTTAAAATTTTTCCATTTATTTTATATCTAATATTTCTTAAGGCATCAAGTTATAAATCAATGGGTTGTATCAAATTTAAAATATAACTTAATTGTAAGAAATCTGTGTATAATTAACTTGAAGTTAACACGTTAAATTTGTAAAAAAATTAGCTTATTAAATTAAAATTTAGTTTCAAAAAAAAAGTAACGAGTTATTAACTTAAGGTTTTAACTTAATTTTAATTTTTAACTCGTTAATGCCCAGCCTTGCTATTGTCTATTATACATTATCATTGTATTTAATATTTAGAGTATTGTTAGATTTTATTGTAAGCTTGATAACCTATTATAAGAGAGACAAATTTGTAGTGCCTATATAAAAAGATAAATCCGCCATCGACATATGTCTGCAGCCTACAGGTATGTACATCGTACATATTCTTCAGCATTTCTTTCTGAAACAAAAAAAAAATTAGTAAATATTAACAAATTTAGATACATCATACATGAAACTAAGTCTGGACTGCGGGTATACCTATGTACATAAATATTTACATTTTAAAGCAATGATTGTATTTCGAACTATGCCTTGTAGGGAAAAATTGTTTTACATACCTCAATATCAGTACTCATCTTAACTAGTAACTAGCAAAACATTTGAACATGAATTGTACATTCAATAAACGTAATTTATCATAATATGCACAGTCACACACTCGCACAGTTAGGTACAACATAACATACGAAAGGTGAGATTATAAGGATAGAGATAAAATATAGAAATAATATACCTAGTTATACTTCATGCTCTCCGTGTTTGATTTTTGTTTCTCAAAATATTGTGTTCCGTGAAACTATATAGTATATACAGTAGTTATGTGCCAAAAACTTTAGACCATGTATTTAAGTGTATATACAGGATGATTCACCAAGCATGCTCACCCCCTTTTTTTCTTCAATAATGCAGTTATTTAAAATCTGATTTATTAATTATTTAATTTTTAAATATACCTACTTTAAGGCCATATTTTCAAATTCTTGAGATTTTTTGTACTACTTAAGAAGTGTCCTACGGAGATAAAAATTTCTGTTTTTCAAATGAGAACACCCCTATTCAACTATAAGTCATACAGTAAATCGTTTTTCTGAAATTGTTGGCGTATCAAAATAAGTACAACAAAAAAATTTCAGCAATCAGAATTTCAATAAATTCATTATTAAAGAGAACAATGGGGGTGATCGTGCTTAGTGAATCACCCTGTAAAGCCATATGTAGGGGTACGTAATATCAATATATCATATTTGGTAGTAACTAGTTAGTAGTGTAAGTACTTTTTAAAGGTGAAATTAAAAAGACTTTTCATTAATAATTGGGAAAAACGACAAATAATTAGGTTTAGGTAAAAGCATTATATCTTCGATACCTCCATGGTATGATTTTCAAATGGCTATTATAGGTAGGTACTTATTGCATACATTTTAAATTTTCGATTTTTTTTCTCCTGACTTTCGATAGCCACATTTTTCTTGGTTAAAAATTTAAAAATGTGATTAAAGGTTCCACATATTTTTTTACTACTACTTCTATTTTTGACAAAAGTTCTTTTTTTAAAAACACGTTACACAATTGTTTAAAAATAACTGAATTATAGGACGTGATAAATTAACGTTATTATTTTCTAAATTATAAATCATTTGATGTAGGCAGTAGGTAATCCACCATGTGTCCATACAATATTTATTTATGTGACTTTTAGGGAATATCATGCATGTCATTAATTATGTACATAATATTTAACTTCTTATTTCCTTATCTATGTAATAGAAAAATTAATTCATTTATTTCACCTATACTTTAACAATGTTGTAGAATTCAAAAATATGTTGCAGTCCAATGAAGTCAATTTTTTCAACGTTTAGCTCAGTGTTTCCCAACCTTTTTACCACCAACCTACCATTCCGACAATATTTTGTAGGTCGCGGACCACCTCAATTTTACGATAACTAGGAACACCTTTTTCTTTTTGTCATTAAACAAGAATACACAAAATGTATCTAAAATAAAACTAGAAATCGAAAAAAGTCTATGGTACCGCGGACCACCTATGGTCGGCCAAAGGACCACAGGTTTAAACACTGATTTAGCTTATAATATGTAAGACATTTTTTAGTTTTTGTAATTTTCTTCATTAGCTATGAACATTCAATTTGCACTTAAATTAATATTTTAATTTTTAATTGTTTGTATAAACAAACTTTTAAACAATTCTGAACAACAGTATCTGAGGACTGCAAAATTATAAACCCGTTTTTTTTTTTACATTTTGTCATTAATTGTACATTGATTGTTGTATCCATTGCGAATTCTATAAACCCAGTTTCGTCGAGCTCAGCGCTGCTAATGTCAATGTTTCTAGCTACCCTATAATTATAGTCTTCCTGGTTATATCTATAATATAAATTTAACCGTTTTGGCATAACACTTGATACTGTCAAACAAATGTCAAATAATTATAAATTTATTTTGTAGGTAATGATATGATAAGATTGTCAATTATCATATACCTTATACTAAATAGAACTTAGTCGATGCCTATTACATTCTTTAACCTAGAGGCAATAAAACTAAAGAAAAAAACAACAAATTTAAAAGTCAAAAAGTTCTATTTTTATTTCCGGAACATAACACAAATTATTATAATTTATATTGTTTTTCAAAAAACCTACATACACACTCTGTGTCTATATGTATATGACCTAAAGGTAAAGTCTTGATCAATAATTAATTTTGTTGGAAAATTGTTCGGTGTATACTTCTATATCAATACTTAACAACCTGTTGAAAAGATATTACGTAATGTAGATTATATTTTTTATTATAGTATGCACTGTTAGGTAATCTATTAACGTACAATTTTGAAACTTAAATATCTAATTCAATACAATATATCGTTTTTATTTTTTAACTTCAACATATTATAATTCTATGCAACTATACCGGTAAATGTTAGGCATTTATGATATAAATAATAAAAAAATTCAGTGGAGATGAGCATCATAGGAAAAACCAATTTAGCAGTGAAAAAGTTAAACAATCTATTAAGCCATAAAAAAAGAAGAAGAAACTAAAAAATAGACTTGTTAGCATTTAAATTTTTAAACCAAAATGTAATGGTTTAATATTAAAATTTTTTAAGAATATTTGTCCATAGAAATATAAAAACTAAAAAGTCTTTACAAACATACAAATTGTAAAAGATTTTTAGAATTATGAAAATAAAGATGTATTTAAGCAAGAAACAATTTTTTTAGAAAATTGTCTGTTGACCGGAATTAAAAGTTCATATTCAAAACGGCAACATTTTTCTAACTTGAACTAACAACTAATACCTAATATCACAATTTGGTAAAATAAATAAATACAATTTGCAAAAAATAAATAAATAAAATAACAAAAGTTTTACTACGCTAGTGGTAAGCCTTGTATCCATGAACTTAGGTCAGTTACTGTAGTATTGAGTGGTTCGTCTTCACGTTTGCACACAATCAACATTTCAGCAGCTGCACGCCCAGACAAATATGCTCCATGAACAGTCGAGTAAAAATTTGGATGGGTATGTTCTCCGGCAAACGTAATAATAGGCTGTAAACAAAAAATATTTTGTATGATGCTCACAAACACATAAAATATAACTTATTGTTACTCACAATTGTATTATTATTAACATGCATTGGCCTTGCAATGTGTTCGATATCTAACTGACTAGAGCCCACTCCAATAGCAGTATATGAACCGAGACTGAATTCATTTGCTTTCCATCGAGTGCTACAAAAAAATAGTTACATGAAATTGAATAAGTATACTACTGTTAAGTTATGAAAACAATGTTTATACTTACCACATGCATTTAGATGGATATGGTATACAGGGATCATTCAGAAAACGTCTCAATACTTCTGTACACTTGTCTCCAATTATTTTATCATCCAATTTTTCCATGATTTCAGCTTCATTCCCAGATAACCAACCAAGCAACAATGTATCATTAACTTTTGAAAAACTATATATCTTTTCACTCCAATCCCCTATTTCATCATTGTCCCATAGTAAAAGTATCTCATCAGTATCTTGACTCAAAAACGGCCGATCATAATATAAAAAAATTTTATCCACTACTCCATACAATAGTCTACCAATAGATTTTTCTTTGTACTTTGGTAGTTTTGGACAGAAAATGTCATTGGACTTGAGTATACCCAATGGCAGTGTGCATATAATACTGTCAGCTTCATAAATCTTATCATCACAATGAACGTACACAGTTTCATTGGTGACATCTTCACCCCCTACTTCAATTACAGTCTTATCAGAATCTTCAGAATCTGTACCATTGTCAACGCCTGATGGCCATTTGATTTTTGTCACTTGAGAATTCAATTTTATACAGTCAGGTGGTAACTTGTTATGAATAGGATCTAAAATACTGCTGTATCCACTGGGCAGTGCAATATTACCGCCCTGCAGTTCTTTGTAACTACCTAACTCAACTAAATCAATATCAACCATATTGTTACATCCAGTAATACAAGTTTCTCGCTTAAGTAAACAGTTGAAAATTAATCGCTGTAATTTACGGGCATTATTATTTTGTACTTTATCCAAATAAATTGCGATTTCGAGCTGCACATGTTCTCCGACACTGTGAATCCCGGGTGGTGGATCAAATGCCCCCGTAAAGTAATCTTCACATCGCCGCAAAAAACACATATACGCTTCATACGTTTCCTAATAACAAAAAAAAATTATAAACAAATTAAACAGTGACAGATTTGTTCTTTTCTTAATTCTCAAGTCTTAGATGAAGTTTATACAATCAAATCAATTATTAAATGTCTTCGGGTCTTACTGATTACCCATAGTAATTGTACCCAAATTAACTAACCGTATTATTAATTGTATGAATAAAAAAATCAGTATTCTTGTCATCTACTATGTTTGTATCTACATGTCATATGCGGTCTATCACAAAAATTGGGAATGGTGTACTGTTTTATGTATGTGCCCTTTACCCAATGTCTTATATGCTAGCCATCCATCTGAGTGTATTTCTATACCAATTTTAATTTCATTTTGAATCATCCCATGTAATTAGCATATTCCAATTATTGGTGGACTCAAGCTTTATGATAATATTATATTATTGATATAGAAATTAAATCGTTATGATAAAGTCATCAAATAGTTGAATCGTTGAGAGTATAATTATTTAAACTTACTTGTAATAATTGGATAGGAACTTTTGTTCCATCCGTTGTGGCTGCTACAATATTGGGTAATTTTGGACGGTGAGTAATATCCACAAGACCATTCGCCAAGGCTAATTCATACATAGGATTACCTAATACACCATGAATCCAATGAGCCCCAAGTTCGACTTGCTGATCATCTGTAAATCACTCATGTATAAAAATGATAAGTTATAGTAATAAATGTTCATACTTATTTTAGAAGAGCATATTCGACCACCAATACGATTCTGTGCTTCCAACACAATAAAATCATTCATATTATGTTGTGACAAATGTGTGGCTGCTGCAAGACCTGCTATGCCAGCACCAATAATAATAACTTTGTGCTTTGAAACATCTGGTAATGGCTCTCCCATAATAATCAGTCTTGAGAAAAATCTATATATATACAATTATAAAATAAAAATTAATGAAATACAAAAATTAAATCAACAATAATATGATATACAGTGTGTTTCTTTTTAAAGGTAACACTAAATAATTCTATCCAGTGACATCAGATTGATATGTGGTTTTCGGGAGGAGATAGGGAATACATAAATACACATTTCTTGATGATTTTTACATTTTCCGATCTTTCAGTGTGAGCATGCGCAATACAACTTGCATTTTTTTAAATGGGAACAGGTGTTTGAATACCAAATTCTGATAGACCTAAATACCTAATTTATTTAAGTCAATTTGGTTCTTTTCACCATAGCTCTAAAATCAAAATTGACTAAATGACAACGAGTTAAAGTTTCGATTAAAATTATTTAATTTTTCAACAATCGTACTAGAATTTTATGAATATTATGAAATTTCAAGTATTTTTTTTGTATCCATAGGCTTGCAGACATCATTAAATCATTTAAATTTAATTTTGAGGAATTAATTAACATCAATTAGACGTAAATGTTTAATTATATAATTTATATTTATATAATTTTAATTGTACATTAAATTTATGTACTGAACTATAACAGTATAGCTATGAATAGATTGTAAATATTTCTATTAAATAAATACAAAATGAATGTATTATAAACAAAACTGTAGGAAACCTCAGAGCACGGTCTTATAATACAGAACAAAACTAAATAATATTTAAAATTAAAGAACATACCTAGGTATTGTATTGTAAGACACTGCAACATCTATAGATTGCTTTCGTGGCCCATACAAAATAGCCCTAACAGTTCAAACTAAATTCCTAATCTGCCTTAATGTGGGTAATCATGAAGAACATGATGGAATATAAATATTGAAACACTTACTAGTTATTTGGTGTCCAGAGATTCGACGATCATGCTATAAGATGTCTCGGCCAACCTTGACTAGGTACACGGTTTTTGGTCATGTTGTGTGGGATAAAATAAAGGGATTAATGCCAAGCTAGTTAGAATACGGACTATACATAAAAAACATTTGATTAAAGTTTAAAAAAAAATCTAACACTATTTTGAATGTTGTTAATGAAAAAAAAAACAAATTCATTAAAATCATGTTTGATAAGAGTTACACGATAACCAGCTGATAACATCAACAAATATGATAAACGGGGGAGAAAACGGCAAAGTCGAATTTATGTCGCCGGACGGCCCAAGTGATCAGACGACATTATTCCTACCGACCTGGCGTACCACCGCCACTACTTAATTCCATCTTTTAGTTTGTGTGCTTTCCAACGATATACTCTCGGTCGGGCGGTGTTCATACGGTTATTAATAAATATTGGCAATAATAATTATTGTCGCGGCCGGTTGCGCAACCGTACCACGAGTGGTTCATCGTCGACAATTATATTATTAATATTATTATTATCGTAGTGATAGTGCGACGTACCGGTATTATTCGATACCGGCATAGACCTAAGTTTAACGTCTATGGATACCGGTGATCGGACCAAAATACTCAGTTATCCTGGCCTCGGGCTGCTCGGGGGCCACAATTCTCAAATATTATACTAATTACTAATTATCCGTAACAGAGTTTGCCAAATACCAACTAGTCGTGCAGCAAAGCTCAAGAGTCAAGACCACTCATGAACGGGCACAGCAGCTGATCCACTGACTGGCTTATCATCATCACGATAAGAAATACGATGATAATGATGTGTTGTGAAAAATTACCATTTCCCAATAATTTTTCGAAAACGTAATAATTATGGTAATGATATTACAACCGTATAAGATATTATTGTTATCCGACGAGAGAGTCGTGTTCGAGACGAGAATATAATTTTTTTTCCTGCAAACGCCGAGGGACGGACATGGTTATGTTTCGATAGTAATATTATTATTTATTTTATTTCCTCGTCTGCAGCAGCGAGAATCTCGTTCACAACAGTTCGCGCGCCATCGCCGGACAGTAAGTTCGTTCGTAACATCAGTGCCGAGTCTCCAGAAATCGTTTTATCACGGACAGTGTCGCTTTCACGGTTCATATTATTATCATCATCACCCGATCGTCGCCGTCACAAAGCTCGATTCGCTCGCGAAAACCGAGCCCGCACACATGTAACGTTCCGCATTTCTTCTCAGACATATTGGTGCTCGTCAGCCGCTTAGAGTTTGAGCTCAGTAGTGCAAAACATTTGCCAAAATGAACATAACGAGGGCGGCGAAATCGGGTCTACGACCCTGCGGAAGTAAGTGCACGTTTTACGTTTTATTATTGAATTCCAACTGTGTGCCTACTATAATATTTCGTGAGCCCTAGGTGGGTGCTGTGTTCTATTTAACAAGCATAAATAAACGATTTTGAATATCGCAACGTACCGCCATTCAAGGTCGATACAGTTATCAGACTCATGTTTCCCCCCAAACACCGTTTACTGATTCATATTTAATTTTTATCATAGATAAATTGGTAACCTATCTAAATCCAAGAGATTAATTGAGTTCCCTCGCAATAGATTTAATCCCATAAAATATGAAACATGCCCAATGGGTATGTCCCATGAAATTGTCTAGGTCAATATCGTTTGGTAAAAGAAAATAACAGTTTTTTTTCCTTTGTGCATTATTCTTATTATGATAATTTATTTAAATATGTTTAATTTTTAATTGTTATGTAATCAAAAAGAAAGTAGTATCCAAATACAATATTTAAAAAATTACTTGATTTGCCTAACTACAAATTAAATGTAGATTTTTGCTTATTATTATTAAGACTATAGTTCTTAAGTAGGTACTTAGAAGTTAGAATATTAATAAAGTTGTTGACTTTAATATTTGATTTTATTAATTTAATATAGGTATAGGCTAGGGTTGCCATAAAAGTTCAAGTACTGATCGGGACATTTACAAAAATAATTTGAACCTTTTTTTTTTTTTTTAATATTAAAATTTAGAACACAGTGTAATAAATATAAATATGTTTATAGAATACAATTATAATAGTATTGAATTATGAAAGACATTAAATTAGAAGATACATTTGATTAACGAAATATTATTTATTTATTTTGAAATATTATATTTTTCTGACTTTTTCTCCTGTTTCAATAGCTCTGGTTTTCCCATAGCATTAGGAGTGTTCAACGTGAAATTCATGGTTTTAGAATATAAATATAATTTTTATAAAAACATAATTTAATATAATTATTGGTAATAATATTATTTACACATAACCGGGACTTTTGTAGGGTCTAGTGGGACGACCGGGACCGAAGTCATGAACTGGTGACATGTCCCGGTGTACCGGGACGTATGGCAACCCTAGTATAGGCCCATGCATAATTAAATACCGTCAGTTAAATATGACAATTTAACAATATTATATGTGTGATAAATATGTATGTAATTGCTATATGTTATTTTATTTAAATTAACATTACCTAATATTAAAATAATTTGACGTTTTAAACTATTGAATTATAATAACTAAATAAATTCAAAATATTGAATACATTATACAATTGTATATTTATAAAAATTATTCAACTAATGTTTTTTAAGTAGGGGAGAAAATATTTTATATTGCACCAAATGTTTATCAGTTTGTATCAGTTTTTATCATGAACAAAAATTATCTAAGTATCAATGTATCACTCTCATTAGTTTTAAATAACATTAGTTAACTACCTATATGATTCCTACTAATAATAATAATATATATAATTGTATGTATTTTAAGTACATAAATTATTCATGATTGCTTATTTTTACCTAATGTACCGACCTATATGCCTATATAATTAATTAAAACTAGATGAATCATAGAAAATATAGTTTTTATTTTAAGTAAATTCCTGGCATGTTACAAAACAAACCTATTAGGTGCAAGTGTCAATTAGGGCCCTATTCAAATATTTCAAAATGGTTATTTTAATCCATTTTTATTAGTTCAAGGTCAATATAGGTCAAAATTAAATCATTATCATTATTTATTATTCTATATAAATTAATATTAGATAGTCTAACCTATATCCAATAACTACCTATATTTAATTAAACTGCATGCAAATTGAGTTTAATAAAGTACCTTTATTTGTACCTATTGATTACAGTATAATATTCTTAACTATTTTTTTTCAGATTTGTACAAATTTTACAATAACAAACATTTTGGTGCCATTTGCTTGAATCCACAACCATGTTCATTTTCAAACAATTTCTTTTACTCAAGTGTTGCTTCAAATCAACTTCTTCCAATATCCCGTTTGACAACAAAACTAGAATTTTCCAATCCCCATATTCGACAAATATCTTACACATCATCATTATTATCTGAAAAACCATCTTCTAAAATTGAAGAAACTGTAAATGCTGTCAAAGAAAAAGCTCAAAAAGAAGCTGAAGGAAAAGAAGTTGCTACAATTAAACCTACAAAGACATTAAAACAAAAAGTTATTGATGAAGTGATGCACTATTATCATGGTTTTAAACTTTTGGGACTCAACGCGAAAATCTCCTTTAAGTTGGCTCTTAAAAAAATGAGAGGTCAAGAATTGACAAGAAGAGAACATAACTTGGTAAGCTTTTTTAAAGATAATCTTTATTTTTTAAATATAGTACCAAATAAAATAGATGATTGATGTTTACCTACAAGAAAGCTATCTAAGTGTTTAAATGAGTTACGACATAAATGTATTCTTTATTTGAAAACAATGGTATGAAACGTTTTTTTGATAACTATAATTTTTGAAATGCATTGTACTAATCTATACTAAATACTTTTACCATCTATGTAGATATTTCAATTAATTAATTTCAGAAAAAAAATGTCCCATATTAACTAAATTATTTTGTATTTATAAGATATTTTTACTTCTATATTCAAGCCTGTTGAGCTGTATGCAACATTCTACCCCTTGAGTCTACAATTTAAAAGTATAAATCTTACACAAATTTAAACTGAATTAAAATAAGTGAATTTCGACAATTTTTTTAATATTTACATTTGTATATTAAAAACATATTTAATATTGCTCCATAGTTCATAAGATGTCATTAATAGTCATTCTAATTATATTAATAATCATAATTTATAAATATTAATTACCATGAGAGTTATTAATGGTTTTTATTTACTTTTATTATTTCAGTTTGTTGAAACAGTGGCTGATCTTTTCCGATTATTACCTTTTTCTGTATTCATTATTGTTCCATTCCTTGAGTTTACTTTGCCTATTTTTATAAAGATTTTTCCTGGTATGTTACCAACTACATTTCAAACAAAGGATGATAAGGTTAGCTACATTTATATTTTCATTTAATGTTAAACTTTTATATAACTTCTAATTATTTTAGGAAGCTAAACTCAAAAAATCTCTTAAGGTGAAACTTGAAATGGCAAAATTCCTTCAAGAGACTTTGGACAATATGTCTGTATCTGGTAAAGGACATACATGTGAATCGGCTCAAGAATTTGCAGACTTTTTTGCTAAGGTAATTATCCAACTTTGTGTGTTTATAATTATTGCATATTTTAACATTAAACAACATTTAAGGTAAGGCAAGAAGGTACTGTTATATCGGCTGATGAAATACTGAAGTTTTCAAAACTATTTAAAGACGAGATTACCCTTGACTCACTTCCTCGACCACAGTTGGTTGCCCTTTGTCGAGTGCTTGAACTACGACCCATTGGGACTTCAAACTTCTTAAGATTTCAACTGACACTTAAACTACGCTCTTTATCAATTGATGATAAGGTAAATACCGCCTAATTTTAGATTGTTTTATTTATTAATTTATTGATTTTAAATTTTAAGGTGATCCAAAAAGAAGGTGTTGATCTACTGACATTGAGCGAACTTCAACAAGCATGTAAGTCTCGTGGTATGCGTGCTTATGGTCTCACTGAAAAACGTCTTAAACAACAGCTTACTCAATGGCTAGACCTTTCGTTAAATGAAAAAGTTCCTCCTTCGTTACTTCTTCTCTCTAGAGCATTTAGCTTTACAGAAAATATTCCCACTAGTGATTTATTAAAGAAAGCTATTTCTGCTTTGCCTAATTCTGTTGGAGTAACGACTGAAGCCGATCTAGGAGAACGTGATGGAGTTATAGATAATAAGGCTAAATTGGAAGCAATTAAAGAAGAAGAACGTATGGTGAAAGAAGAAATCGAAGAATGTCTTGAAGAAAAGAAAAAAGAATTAGAAGACGCCAAAAAGAAACCTAAAGAGCAAACTATTCTAGCCAAAGACACTTTAGTTGATACAGCACCTATTTTAACCGACACAACTGGAATCAAAGAAGAAGTATGGCCAGACATGTTACTTTATGCGTTCATTGATATTAACCCTATTTATTATTTATAGAATGTAACATCAACTGATTTGAAAACTTTAGAAAATGCTATCGAAAATTTGAGTTCAGAGCAAAAAACACTTATTGTTGAAAAAGAAGAGATCAAAGAATTGAAGGATGAACTTAAAGATTACCAAGAAGTTAGTAAAATAAAATAAGTTGTAGATATCATAAATAATGTATTTTATTTTTGTATTACATTTTTTTGTTTATTTTAGGATATAAATGATCTTCAAGAAGTAATGAAAACTGAGAAAAAAGAAAAAGTTAGAGAATCTAAAGCAGCTAAACGATTATTTAAGAAAGTCAATAATATGATAAAAAATATGGACCAAGTAGTTGATAAATTGGAGACAAAAGAAAAAGAAATTAAAAAAGGTATTGAAACCAAAGAATTAGTCGATGAAAATGCAGCAAATGAAAGGTAACTTTTACTATTTTATTCATATAATCATATTCTGATTATTTTTTTCAATATATACATTTATTAATCTTTTTTTAGTGAATTAATCAATATTGATGAGCTGATTGGAGCAGTGCGAAAATTACAAAATATACCTGATGAATATAAACTACAACAAATAAGTGAAGTGCTTAGTAAAATTGATGACGATCATGATGGTTCAATAAGATTAGATACTGTATTGAAGGTAAGAATTATATCATCAATTATCTCGTTCTAAACATTTATTTATTACAAATGTATCATTTTAGGTATTGGAACTGATCGGTACTGAAAATATTAAACTATCCACCAAAGAAATGGATATGATAACACAATTAGTTATCAGAGAGGAAGAAATGGAAACTATAGAAAAAATGAACAAAATACAAAAATTGGAAAAAGACGATGTAGCACAAGCAACAGCCCCCAAAGTAATTACATCTGAAACGATTCCAAAAATAACTGTAACACCAATAATTGATTCAAAGATTGTCTCTGATACAAAAATACCACCATTGCCACCAACGAGTAGTACAAAATCAGATGAAACCAAAAAACTATAAGTCAATAATACAATAGGCTTTCATAAATCTATACAATCTTTCATCATTCAAATATGAATACAAATTCTTAAAAAATGTGATATTGCAATACATTTCCACAGTTTATGTGACTAATGTGTTAATTGTCCCCTACAATTTAGTTTGTACATACAGTTTTTAGTTCAGAACAATTTGTTTAATACTAAAGAAAATTGGCTTCTGATTGGTCCGTATCTTTTTGTTAAGTACTATATTTTACTGTTATTTTTAAAAAAAAATAATAATGTGGAATTCAAGTTCATATTTTTTTATTATTTGTATCTCATTTTTCTTCAAAATTTTACCCTCGTTCAAAATTCCTCTTTACAAACGCTTATAGATTTCTTTACTAAAATAGTAAAATTAAATATATTTTACCATGTTATGTAAGACTGTTTTAAACTATTTATTTATTTACACTTGAATTTTTATTAATAAATATATTTAAGAGTATATTACTTGTGTCTCATAACATCCAATGTGTAAAAATCCAAAATTATACATTAAATGTTTACAGTGGTAAATTAAATAACTCAATATGATAACAATTCTCAACAATTACACTATAAATAGAATTTTTGGAAACATCCTTAAATAATCAAATATGTGTCAGTTAAAAAAATTATATATTTGTTAAACTAGTGGGCATACAAGAAATGTATTTATTAATAAATAATAATACATTTTTTAATTGTTATTATTATTCACTTGTTTTTAACATTATTGTTTCCATGTCATTGAATGAATAATATGTAGACTGATGTATTCTTAAGAGGACGTTATATCTACATAATATGTTGTCTCCATCTCACTAGTGCGTAACAGCAAATTGTACGCTCAGCAGATCACGTTTAGATCTGTTTGTTTAAAAATAACAGTGAATTGACCTTTTATAAAATTTAAAGCTAAGATTATTATCTAGGGCATCTCATGAGCTTTTTATTATATTTTAATTTTAAAGAGAGTTATGAGTATTGTAAGATGTACAAACAATTTTCAATTTTAAAATACTCTTAACTAACTTTAAAATTAAAGATCAACTCAGTCTAATTTTTAAACTAATGAAGCTAAATATGATCTGCCATGTTCCTTGCCTTGTAAGACTGTCCACATGCGAATATAACGTCCTCTTAAGATAATAATTTTCAATCAATATTGACCTGGAAATGTTTTGATATTTGATTTTGATTTAAATCACCGTATTTGCATGTGACGATGTAAAGTATCACTCTATAAATATGCTCAAAAATTATTTGTCATAAACAACTAGCATGCAAACAAAGATTACGTTCTAACTATTAAGTTCTTATGTTATATTTTATTTTGCTGAAAGCAAATTTACCAGATTGTATGTTTGTTGTTTGTTGAACTCCAAAAACTGATATGGGTGTTGGTGCTCCTTGATTTAATTTTAAAATAGTGAGTAAGTGGATGTCACTCCACTGTACAGTAGATTACAAGGGTGTCCCTAATGGATGGTGTTAAATTTTAATTCAATGATTAAAATTGTTGTTTATGCATATAAAACAGTTCTGAGCGAAGGCGGTCTGTCAGCCTGTAATATTATTTAATATAATTGATGATATAATTGTGATTGGAGAAATTTATTTTCCTATTGGGTACTATATGAGGTTAAATTCATTTTTGCGAACAAAATTGCATTTGAAAATGTAATTGAGTGCATAAAATATAATAATATACCCATTCTAAAATTTTCCAAGTACCCACAAAAAATATTTTTAAATCAGGTACAACTAAAATCGTTATTCTTGATTTAAACATGTAATTAAGTCCAAATTTTAACTTAACATAACTATAAAAAAAATATCCTAACAAATTTTTTCTACAAATTTAACTACAAAGTAATTTGTACAATTTTAATTTAATAAACGTTGTTAATGTTTGAATTTAAATACATACAATAAAAATTGTACCTATGTATTTTTAATGTTTTCAACTTTTATTGTAACAATATATCAAGACCCTTGTGTTAAATTGTCAAGTTTTTTGACCCAAAGAACAAAATATTATTGATAGATAAAATAAAACTAAAATAATTTTAAATTTTAAATGTTTGTAAATAGCTCTAAACGAGTCAAAAAAATGCCAAGTATAGGAAATGATAAAATGAAAATTTGGTGTACATTTCAAATACCTACGGTTACTGGTTTTTTAATTCCAACAAAATAAGATAATCGTTCAATGAGAAATCATAAGAATTTCTTATCGTGTGCACGGGCCCGAATAAAAAAACACACACATCATTGAATCACTTAAATTTTTTAGTGAGAAAATGGACAGCAACGATGAGCAACAGAATGAAATTGATGGTTTATTGGATTTTGGACTCTATGGTGAAATTTTAAACAAGCATTAAAGTATGATGTTGGACACTAAGTAGTTGGAAAGTCAAAGTTATGTTAGAAAGTTACTTAGGTAGTTAGTCTTAATTCATACTAACTTTGTCACCTAACTATTTGAATTGAATGTGTAGGATACACTAACCTCACTTGTTAAAAACATTAAGCAACTAGTTATTTTTTGTCGTCCCAAACACCTATAAATTTTCCGTAAAACTGCAGTGTGCCGACTATTTATATCTATAGAGTAGATAATATTTTTAAATTACAACAAAATAACTAAAATTGTTGTTCCTGGTTTAAATATGTAACCACGTCTAAATTTGAACTTAAAATAACTAAATAAAAACTGTCTTAATATATTTTTTAGATTTTTTTCCACAGAATTAAAAACACAGAACCTTGTTTTAAATTTTCAATCTTAAGCTTAAAAAAATTTGACATTTTATACATTTTTAACGGCAAAATAATTTTCAAATGTTCGTGACGGTCTGTCGACTGTCAGCCTACACTAATTTTATTTTTATTTTATTTTATAATAATAAACGGGTTTGAAACCCTTTTGAAAATGTATACATATTACATAATTACAAAACATTCATAAAAAAGAAAAAAGTTTGATTACAAAAATAATGATAGATAAATAAGGTTAATTAGATTAGGTCGCTAAAGCTGATAAATAAAAAAAACGAAAAAAGATTAACAAATAGTAAAATTAAAGATCTACAGAGGGATCCTCATTGGGCATTATCATTAGACGCCTAATAGGCTCATTTATCATATAATTGCTCGGACATATAGGAACATGAAAAGGAACACTAGAACGGTTTTGACGGGGAGGGACCTTGAAATTCAGTAAGGATAATAAATCAGTTGAATCAACTTGATCAGACAACAGTCCCTTTAGAAACTTTAAGGAAAGCATTCGCCTGCGTTCAGCTAGAGGGACGAGACCTAATTGAGCAGCAACAGCTGATTAGCCATGCGGTGGGTGTTCAATGCCTAATAAGAAACCAGCAGAACGAAGGAACTAATATTACTAAGTATGTATATTTTAATTTCAAGTGATTTATTTAACTATATAATAAAGATATTAGCACAATAGTAAGTTAAATTCATTTTTGTCGAAAAAAATTACATTTGAAAATGTTATTGTGTGCACAAAATATAATAATATATACCTACTCTAAAAGTTTCAGGTACACAGGAATAATATTTTTGAATTACAACAAATTATAACAACTAAAATCTTTATTCTTATAGTTTAAATATGTAACATTGTCCAAGTTTGAACTTAAAATAACTATAAAAAAAACTGTTGGATTTTTTTTTGATTATAAAATTAACTACACTTATGCGAAACCTTGTTTTACATTCTTAGCTAAAAAGCCATACAGTTTGAACATGTTGTATATTTTCAACCATAAAACCATAATGATTTGTAAATTTTGAATTTAATGAATGTTGCCAAAATTTGAACTTAAAATGCTTGTAAAAAAAATCGTATACCAATATATTGTTAATGGTTTTTGATTTCTATTGTTACAATAATATATCAGGAGCCTTGTATTACATTTTTAAGCTTTTTGACCCTAAAAACGAAATTTTATTGACATTTATAGAAAAAGTTTAAAAAATTTAAATTCTAAATGTCCTCAAACAGCTCTAACAAGTCAAACTATTTTGAAAATGTTATCAAGTATAGGAAATGATAAAACAAAAATTTAGTGCACATTTCAAGTATCTACAGTTATTTGTTTTTGCATTAAAACAAAATAAGAAAATCGTTCCATGGGAAATCGAGCGAATAGTGCTCTGTTAAGATGCTCATAAAAATTTAATTTAACTTTCCGGTACACTTTTTTTTTTTTGATAAAGATAGCCAAGTCCATGACAAATCTTGTGTTCAATTTTCGAATTGAAGATGTAAAAATAAAATTTTTTATGAATTTCTAACTCAAAATAATTTGTCAATATTCATGATTTTTAAGAATTTCGTCAAAATTTTACTCCCAGACAGTCGTGAAAAATTACTATCGATATACGATGAGCTTTCTTTTTTAATTTACGCTAACAACAACTTAAGAGGAACCTTCTATTACATTTCAAGGTTTTTAACAGAGTATATATTTTTTTAACGACATTAATTTTAAGAAAACTTATGCAAATCGAAAATTTCAACTTTTGTATGCCTATATATAGTTCAACCCGAGTCAAACTATTTTTTAAATTGTATGGTTTATTAGAAATGATTTAGTGAAAATTTTATGTAAGGTCATTTTTTTGTGAGTTACACTTAAAACCGAAATCGATTTTTTCGAGATCTGGTTTTGAGTAAAAAATCCTGTTTTTCCTGTAGCTTATGAAAACTAATAGAAATTTTAAATTTTCTACCAGAAAAGTTGCTGTTGAAGAAAATCATTAATGCATGTAACGGTTTAAGATTTCAGGACAATCAATTTTATTTTATATATCCAGTTTACAACTAAACATTTTCTTCTGCATCAGAGAGTGAAGGTTCTTATTATTTAGATTACTAAGCATTTTATCATGACTAACTATGTCAAAATTAGGCTCATCTTATTTATAAAATCGTCGTCACTCGTCACTGATTGCGTCTTAAAGTTGTAGGTTGCAAATAGTAATATTATTATACACTATAAACAGGTAGACCGTAGATGTATATATGTATGTAACAGATTTAATATTGTAAACTTTACAAAATTGAATAATGTAAATAATGTTAAAACATTGTATAAGCCTTATTGCACTTTATTAAACCATTAATAATATACTTATTACTAATGAGTTGTTTATTACATATTATACTATATAGCGACTGTTAATTTAATTTGTCGTAAAAGAGGTGATACCAAACTGAAAGAGCGTATGGTTTATACTTTCTAAGTAGTTTTTTAATTATTTAACATTATTTACGAGAGTATTTAACAAATAGTAGATCCAATATTACATCTATTTTATGTTTTTATACAACAATTTTTAAGTACATTTACCGTTCGTAGGTTTGTACCGTCTTACCGTTTGTATAAACATTTTAATCATTAAAAAAGTAATAGTTTGAAATTTTAATTAGGTACCTAATTAACATTTCCAAAAAATTTGTACTTAATAATCCACAAATTAAAGCAGGCATCTTATTTGAAGCACAGTACTACCTATAATGGATAATATGTTGTACAAAAAATGTCAAGAATTTGAATGAAACAGTATGGTCATCACGTAAATAATTAAATGAAAAAAGATTGACAAGTGGATTCCACTCTTCCGTATAGTAGTGAGTTGTGAAATGAGTCACTGCAATGAATGTTTAAAATTTAAATTCAATGATATAAAATCATGGTATTAAATAAACAATTCCGAGAATGTCAGTCTGTCAGCTTATATTACTATATACGTCTCATGATATTATGACAGTTAATTCAAAACTGTTTTGTATAATTGAATATCCGTATCACATATTTTTTCTTTTAAGTAATTTATTTTACTACATTAGTAATAGAGTTGTTTGGATTAATTATTGCCAAAAACATTGCATCTGAAAATGTCATTGTGTATAATTTATAATACACTTAAAAGTTCCAGATGTCCACAAATATTATTTTAAAATTAAAACAAAATACCTAAAACTGTTATTCCCCATTAAAATATTTTTCTAAATTTGAACTAAAAATATCTATAAAGAAAATTGTGTTTATAAGTACAACTCTTTTAAATATTTTTGGTAACAGTATTAACTATTTACGAGATACCTCAATTTAAATGGTCAATCCTTAGCTATATAAATGAAAAAAAAATACATATTTAGCTACAAAATTATCTGAAAATTTTAGTTCTATTGAAGGAGAGAGAACGAAAACCTTTTAATGCATTATAAAACATACAAAAACTGTAAAATTAATAGAAATACAAAAATTATATATTATCACTTATCATACAAAATAGGAAAATATGTATATAAAAAAATAAATCATTTATCATAAATGCTTTTGAAATGTTGTGTCCTATTAATAGCTACTGCTCCTCCTACAGTCTGCATATATTTCATCGACGCTGTGACTATACTCCATTCATTGGTGTTAGGGCAGTAACATTCTACGGAATCCAAAGAAGAATTTCCGTTGAGTCCACCGATGACATACAATAAACCATTTAACACAACTACTCCTATATTGAAAAATTAACTTAAATTCAATATATTTAAAGAAAAATTTTGAATTATTCCATGAGAAGTTACCTGGACGACTTCTAGGAAAATGCATGTCTGCAATAGGAGTCCAAATTCCTGTACTCGGTCTATATGTTTCAACACTACTTAGAGTGCATGATTCATTAAGACCACCTACAGCATACAGTACACCATCTAAAACTCCTACTCTAACGCCTTTGCGATGTACTCTCATTTTTGCAACTGGTATCCATGTATCAAGACTGGGATGATAGCATTCGACAGTATCTAAACCGTACACTGATGAACCATTACATCCACCTACCTACACAATTCAAATAATACCAAATGAAAAATAAAAATCCTGTGCTAGAAAAAAAATCCTGAGATTCAATATTATTGCGCAGTGTTTTGGTACCTCTTATAATATAGGCAGGTTTGTCAAATAATGAAAATACATCAGTTTAAATCATTGAATTGAGAAGGTTTATTATAAAAAATATTTATAATATGTATATTATTTATTACCATTCAAAAATTTTAATTTATCAAAACATTTAATTTTGTAGATATATTCTGTGATTCATTCTCAGAAGATTTTTAATAAAATTACAATTATGATTGTAACAAATATATTAGAAATTTAAAATCATAAAATAAAATATTACTTTACCACATATAAAAGATTATTTAGTACTCCAACCCCAAAATCAATTCTATCAGTAGACATACTAGATATCGTACTCCATTCTTGAGTATTGTAGTCAAACACTTCAGCGCTATCTAAATAACCATCAATTTCATTCTTTCCACCAACCTTAAATGTATTATAAAAGTTACAGATACCTACTATATTGCAAATAAACTAATAAATTATAATTCAACATTACTTACGGCATATAGATAGTTATTTATCACACCAACTCCTAAGGAATATCGTTTAGTTAACATGTCAACACTTGGTTCCCAACAAGGTGATTTTAAAGATAAATCAAGCACATCAACAGACTTAAGACTTTTGCCACCCACTGCAAACACTAAGTTATCATTCACTACTTCTACACCAGCTTTGTAACGGTATGTAATCATTTCTGATAAAAAATTCCATTGGTCAATTTTAGGATCGTACCATTCTGTCCCCAAAAGTAAATCAGTCGCAGCCATAGCAACAACTAAGATAACCTGTTATAATTACAGTGTTCAATAAATTAAAAAAAGAGAAATAAACTTGAAGAATTATACTTTATCTCCATGTCTAGGTTTAATTCGGATATTTTGTGGAATTGGCTCTTCTGACTTGAGTAAGTGAAAATATAATGCCTCAATTATGTATTTGTTACCTAAAAAAAAATATATACATATATATTCACAATGTTTAATGAAAACACTTACATTTAAGACAATTATTAATAAGAGGTTCCTCGGCTACTTTTTTTAATATGTAATGTTTTGATATTAATGGCAAACGTACGTGTTCCATTAATTGGGGTAAATTACATTGTCTAGAACTCAATTCATGTTTTACCCAATGAATAACACTTTCAAATACCTAAATGATAAATACACTAATAATTTAATTAGGCAACATATATGAAAAAAGGTAACTGCATTTGGCTTTCCCCAATACTTAAACAATAATGAATTTCAGTTTGCATACTTTTTCTTCAGATGGAACAATAAGTTCATCATTGGAGATCAACTTAATAACTTGTTCAAATGATAAGGATAGGAATTCGTCCCCACCAATAACTTCTCTAAAAATCAAAAAAAGGTATATTTTAAAAATATAAGAAAAGTAATTTTTCTTGAACCATAATAGTAAATTTATTTCATACGTAAAGTGGTGTAGAACATATAATTCTGAACTTTTTAACAATTGTGTACAGCTATGTAAATCAGCTATTGCGTTTATACCGATACAATTTGTAGGGCTAAGTTGTGACTGTAAAAAATCACAACATGCCTCTCTTACTTCTTCTAATTGCAAGAGATTTGCAGCCGGTAACAAAACCTTGAGAAATAATTTATACAAATTTAAATAGTTGTTAAAAAAAAAAATTAAACTTTATCTATAACTACCAGGACATTTATTTCAGTGACAACGATTTTCCCAGAATAAATAAAGTTTACTAAGAGCTTTAAAGCGGTTGAATCTAATTGACCCATGACTACATGATCATGATTCTTTTCTGCAAAATTTGTGAACATTGCATGGAAATATGGACTACCCGATGCTAAAACTACTTTATGTGCGAATATTATTTGTTTATCGTCTGTTTCAAGTGTAATATCACAAAAATCCTGATTTCTAAAAACATAAATTGTGTTACTAGTATGCGTCTAGCTTTTTGAGTCACTGACCATTTACTTGAGTAAAGATTGTAATACTTTGAACATCTCCGTGTAATACGATTTTTCATACTCGTATTTAGCTGGTTCATTTCTTCTGAATTCTGGTGTTTGCATCTTGAGACGTACCTATATAAAGTCCTGGAATAGGAGGCCTTAAAACTAAAAAAAAAAAGCATTTTTAAATCAACTATAATTGATATAATTATAATTTGAATGCTTGAAATCCACAATAATAATTTATTAATAAGTAATGATAGTAATAACCCGGGGATTGGTGCATAACTAAATAATGATGGTAGGAAAGTCTGGCGAAAAAAAAGTCCCGGAAAAAAAGTACACGGAACAAAAGTTTGGTGGAAAAAGTCTCAGAGAAAAAAGTCTTGGGGCTAAAAAGTCTGTATTCTAAAGATAATATCTAATAATTATGTAATCATATAATAAGTAACTACTAAATACAAAACTGATAAAACAAAAATTATATTATAAAAAAAACATCTCATTGAATAGTTTATAATAGTAATAATACTTATAATAATATATATATTATAATAATCAAAAAATTATAAAAAAAAATCTCATTAAATCTTAGTTCAAAATATTATTAAAAAAATATAAATATCTATACCATGAAGTTATAGATGTCAGAATAGAATAGAAAAAAAAATTACATAATTATAAAAATCCTAGTTGTAATATCGCTGTAACTTAATATTTTGGGCTATAGCTTTTAAAAAATCTTGTAAGTTCAATTTTATTTTCTCTAAAACGAGTGCATAAAGCATTTAATCTTATTTCCATTTTCTTTTTTTTCCTTTTTATTGATGGCTCACCCAGTTCATTTAAAGCTAATTTTGGGCGATCTGCAGCTATTTCATATCTTATTTTAGTAATTGTATATTTCATTAGTATTATAAACTTTTTTTGTCCTAAGACTTTTTTCTGGGTACTTTTTTCCGTTTACCCTAAATAATTCCTATAAAGGTGCGATTCCTATGCACGCGTCTAGAGACGCGCGGCTGACGCGGCGCGATTTAATTTTAGCCGCGCAGGTACTACTTTACTTGTTTTTAAGTATAACCGATTCCTATGACCGCGGCCGCCGCGCGTGGCGGTCGCGCGCGTCTAGCGCCGCGCGGCGACGACCGCTTCGAGGGCAGTCAAATCGCACGAGCCGCGCGGCTAATATTCATATTTTAATTTTCAAAGTTCGACATTTCGTTACACTGTGTGACACAAAATGTCTTCAAAAGTGTCATTCACAATAGAAGAAGACATACTATTGGCTGAATCGGTAAGAGAACATCCATGTTTGTTTGACTTAAAAAATGCCAATTACAAGGATCAACAAATAAGGGACAATGTATGGAAGCTTATAACAAATAACCTGAATAATAAAAGTGGTAAGTAGTATACCTATTCAACATATTAATGAAATTTCAAAATTAATTGTTAATTTGTTGCGTACCTGTCAGTGTAGACTGTAGAGTAATAGGTATCTAGTTAGTGTCTATAAAATTTGAATTATTAACATGTAGGTAGATAATTACCTAAATTAAAANTAGTTATTCTTACTTACGTACAACATACACTGAATAATAGTTATTTATGTTAACATTACATTATGAAAAAAAAGTACATTTATAAATAGATGTTATTTTCATATTATTTATACATCAACTGCGTGGCTAAGTATAACTAAAATAATATGCTATTGTGGAACTGGAATATTTATTCTAATCTATTAGATTGATGATTTTGCCACGGAACAGCTCCCTGTGGACTGTTGAAAAATTTTTTAAATTCGTCCCTCACGAAAAAACCCTCAAACTTTGAATATCCTCCTGCTCTTGCCAATGACATCATATTTTCAGATGGTTGAGGTTTGTTATCATCGAAGTTATAATAATAGTTGTTCGTATTCTCCAAGTAACGATCGCGAAGTAAATTGTGAAGGCAACATGCAGTCAAGACTAAATTATCTACCGTTTCCGTTTTTAGAGATATTGGTGTATAGAATACTTTGAAAATTTGGCTTAGAAGCCCGAAACTATTCTCTGTAGTTCTTCTCGCCCGGGAAAGTCTGTAGTTGAATACGGTCTTTTGATAATCTTTTCTAGCCTCAATCCTAGAATAAGGACGCATCATATGTTGGTCTAGGCGAAATGCCTCGTCCCCAATATGTACACACGGTAAAGATACATTGGAATCTGGCAGTTTTTCAGGGGAAGGTAAATATTCACCGGTTAAAATTGTTTTAGAAATACTAGATTTATTAAAAATTCCACTGTCCCCTTCTTTACCATAGGACCCAATGTCCACAAATATAAATTTACAATTAGCGTCCACAATCGCAAGAAGAACAATGGAAAAAAAATCTTTGTAGTTAAAATATAATCTTCCGCTCTTCTTTGGTGAAAATATGCGGATGTGTTTCCCGTCTATGGCACCAACACAATTTGGAAAATTCCACTTGTTCCAAAAGTCATGAGCAATACGTACTAAATCTTCTTTTAATGGAGGCTTTAATAAGACTGGTGTTAGACGAGTACTTAAACTCTTTAAGACTAATTGTATTATACGTGTAATATAACTTTGAGAAATTCTGAATGAAAAAGACAATGACCTGAGCGATTCTCCCGTTGCCATATATCTAAGGAAAAAAAACGTAACATGTTAAAGACATTTTTTTAAATTTATAATATATAATATATTTTATTTATAATAAAATCCGATATTTCTGCCACAGTAGTATTAAAATAATTAAAACTGGTTGCAAATAAAGGGCCCCATACACGGGACGATTTATCGGTCGCACAGACAGATTGATACGTGCTCGCGAAGCGTCAACATGCCAACCACCGACCTGTCGACAAACTTGTTGGTGCGTGTATGGTATTGTCGAAGCACAAATTATACAATATTAATATTTTATCTAAAATTAGACCTATGTTGATTTGACATAAATTGGATATTTATTTTATTTTGGCATGTAGATATAATATAATAATAGTAATAATATATTTCTAATTTCTGTATAGTTTTATGAACTGTAATATTTAAATGAATAATTATTATTATTTCAGTTGATGATTGTAAAAAGAGATGGAAAAATATGAAAGATACGTATAATAAACATAAAAGGAGTAGAAAATTAGGGACGGGATCATCGACAAAAAATAAACAAACAAAATGGGCCTTGGCAGATACACTATCGTTTATGGACGTATGTTCTTACGAACGAACGTGAGTAATAATATATTAAATACATTGTACCTAAAAACCAATTCATCTTACAGTTATAGAAATTGCCCATTAATAATAATTATGGTTCGAAACTAATGCACCTATGCGGCTATGCGCTTAAATTGATACAAATATGCTTTAAAAATGTACAATTATTTTTTTCTCACAATTTTATAATTTGTACTAAATATCTATTATAAATAACACAGAACTAACTATTTTTTGTTCATTTATTATATTTTGAAGGGGACTGACTAATCTTAATTCTACGGTTGAAATGAACAATAGTGAAGAAGAAGATAGCTACTTAGAAGTAACTGTTGACGATGAAAACAATTCAAGTGATGAAAACGATGTTTCACAGAAGTCTGCAACAAAAAACACTACAGTTCAGGAAACTGAACTTGAAAATAATTTGAATACAAAAAAAACAAAATTATTAAAAGAAAAAAGGCCTACTAAAAAACTAAAACAAAATGAAGAGTTAGTGTCATTGTTCAAAAAAAGTAATGACGAAAGACAACAAATTATAAACGCCATTAACAAAGTTGAGGAAGATGATGATCCCATTGATTCATTTTTTAAAACAATGGCATTAACAGTAAAATCGTTTCCTCAACATTTGAAAATAAAAGCCAAAAAAGAAGTGTTCAACATAATTACGGATTTGGAAATAGAAAATAACAGCACTACATCGACATCAAATAGAAATATTCAGTTAACAAGTAGCTTATTTTCATCTCCAAATCCTAGCATACAATCATCGTCAAACTCAGGATTTTCAACATATGATCGTCCAAGTCAATATGTTTTTCCAGAGACTAATGATCGTCAACCTGGAAATTGGACTCAATCGCTCGGTGATAATAATTATGAATTACTTCAGTACGACGATAGACAGTACGAATAAGGAAAATATGATAAGGTATTTTTATTTGTTGTTTCAATAAGTTGGTATCTATTTTTATTTTATGGTTTATTATACAGTTACATTTGTATTTATTAATTCTATTAAAGGATGAATTTTTCGTTTATTTTAAATATATTTTTACAACAATAATATTCGGGGTTCGAAAAAGTAATATCATTCATTACTATTATTATAATTTTTTTGTTTTATTATATCTTTAAAATTTAAAAACTATGTTTGATTTTATTTATGTTTATTTGTAATAATATTTATTATGATGTATTGGCATTTTTAAAAGTTCATTTTTATACTGCGTTATTATTTTTTATTAAACGAGAAGTTATACACAATTTATTAAGAATAAAAATGTTTTTAAACACATTATTTAAAATTTGTATTACCTAGGTATTATAGGTACTATAAAATATAAATTATACTACAAACATATATTATGTTACATTACCTCAACGTGACTGCTAGTTTTTCAGCAGCAGATATTGGTTTTCTAATTTTGATGCTTGGGTTGGTTTTTATGTCTTCCTCAACTAGGTTCAATACATAATTAAATTGATCCCAACTTAATCTAAAAAATTCCCTGAATTTGGTTTCGTCTCGCCATAAATGTTTTTCAATCAGGACACTGAAAAATCCCTCAGCTTCCCTGGCTAAGTACATTTCATGCACTTCATTTTTATTTTTTGATACAACGTATTTTATGATAGCTTGTTCTTCTTCTACTTGTTGTAAAAGAAGTAGTTTTAAGATCAATTTTTGTTTTTTCGTTAAGGACATGGTTAAACTAGTAAAATTGTAATATTTTAAAACACGTTTTTATGAGTATACAAGTACAACCGTTTCAAATAGAGGACTTGACACAACTACGTGTACGTGCGTAATTCTAGTCCCGTAGTGGTCTAGCCGCGCGTCTCCTGACGCGTACATAGGAATTAATATTAGATCGCGCGGCTAAATAAATGACCGCGCGGCTAAAATTCAAATCGCGCCGCGTTAGCCGCGCGTCTCTAGACGCGTGCATAGGAATCGCACCTTAAAGGTGACGATATTATAAAGAATATATTAATAAAATTTAATGCACTTACGACTTTAATATTATTAACTAATGAGAGCATAAAAATTAAAAAGATGGCGATTAGCTCTCAAAAAATACAATAGCTGAAAAACGGCGAAATTCGATTATTCACAAGGACAGATCGGCATTCAGCGAGATACTAGACAGTATTGACAGCATAGATATTAGATTTTGTCGAGCTAAAACTAATAAATATAATATTATGTAGTAAACACATAAAATGTCAAATAGCGATATAAATATAATATTTCAGGAAACGCAGATAGCGTATTCGATTACGCGTGTGACTGTGTGAGTGTGTACTTCGGACCATTAATTTTGGACGGCGCAACGTGCATGACAGATATAATTAAAATAATACCACAGAATAAAATATAATTATGATTGCGAAAAGAAAATCTAAAACCATCTAAAATTAAATTCTTTATCGGTGTACTACAATAGTGGAACTCGCGACCGACGGAGGGTTTTAAACGTTTTAATAATACAGCACAATAATCAGTCTATGATAATAACGAGTGTTATTAATTTTGTTAACAATTACTATACAGTTATAAATTTATAATACGGATAGTGTACTTTAATTACTCATCAGTAATAATTATTAGACCTAAAAAAAAAAACCTAAAATGCATTGCTTACTCACAATGTGAGTATTATTATTAGTATTATTATTCATATTATGGCATAATATGAATTAAATAAATGTATTCTTTTTCTAATTTAAAAATATGCTCTTATGCATCGACAAATTTAAATAAGCCCTAAAAAAATTACTCCTCCATATTACACAAAAAAATCAACATTTTTCTTTAAATAATTTATTTATTTTAATTATTTTTGGTACATTATTATATTTTCTATGCGTCTATATATATAAAAAAACAATAATATAGCTAATACTGATTATTCATTCGAATTGTATGTAATAGTTGACCTTGATTCATGAAAAATATTTACCAAAGTGCTTGATTTATGGTGAACTATTCAATAAGGCACCAAACATTTGAAGCAGGTATTTGATCGCATTTATATCATTATTTGCTATCATTTCATCGAGATTTTTTCACTATGTGATTTAACTCTAGGTTCATGATACAATTAAGATTGGGCTTACCTAATATTATGTTGTACTCTCCAGTGAGCCCTAGCCTCGATTGCGCTGACCCCACGCCACCGTCTGAGCCACACTTTCGATTTAAATTGTTGGAATATACCTGAAAAATGTACCGAGTACCGACCTCACGTCGGCTATAGTATGGTAGCACCAAGGAGTGTCTGGAGTGACAATGCAAAGGCGTTAGGTTAAAAATTCAGGACCCAAATTTTGGTTTAAAAAAAATTAAAATAGATATTGTGGCAATATTGAAAAATGTTATATATATGTATATTATTATATTATATTAATCAATTTGTAATATTATATTTATATGTATATACGTCGTAATGGATGGTTTTCCCGTACACCTACGTCGTTATCGACGGGCGACGGCCGATTTACGATCGAACCATAGTCGTAGATCAGTTTTAGTTGTTGCTCGTTGTCCGTCGACAAATAAACGTTCTTAATACATTGTGCTGTATTTTTATTGCGACTTTTACTCTATTATTTTCACACCACACACTGACCCATGTTGTCTGTGCTACGAGCCATGACATTTTAAACATATATATATATGTTTACTAAAATATTATATTTTATACTGCTTATAATATTAGTGTTATACATCAAACCAGTTAAAATACAATAAAAAATAAAAAATAGCCTTTTTTAATAAATACAATTTCATCACTGAATAATGATTTGATAATTTTAGGTTATAAATTAAACTAAATGTTTCAAGCTCCTATAAAATAAATTTGATATAATATGTAAATGCAAAAACAACCAAGTTATTCCGATATTTTGAGAACTTAAAAAGTAAAAAACGTTAAATAACTTAAATGTAACTATCAAGTATCAATCGGTAGAAAGTTGCCAAGCATAATTTTTGAAACAAATAACTAAACTATAATCGCCAGCTATATAACAAACTAGAAAACAACCAAAAATAATGATAAAAAAGTTAGTTTTATTCTTAGATCACAAACTAGTACATACCTGTATGATCTAAGGTTCTATCATTAATAACTTATTATGATACTAACGATATAAGTACCATTGTTATTAATCGGTTAATGCCAGTCGGTTCCAGTTATTTAGTATTTATTATTATATCTTAAAAGCAGCTAGCAGCAGTATTATCATAAAATTATGATTTTTAAAATAAAAATGATTAATAATGACTACTATAATTGACAAAAAAAAAAAGACGAGAGGGGCAACTGCCCCTACTTGCCTCCACCCACCCTGCGGACGCACTTGTACTTACACGTATAAAAATTAATAAAAATGTGTAGGAAATAATGAATTCTTTTTAAAGTTTGTGAATTTATGAATGTAAGTCCGTAAGAGCAATACTAAATAGTTGTTCTTGGACTTTTGAAAGGTCGAATATGTTTATTTTTGAACTTAGAAAATCACAATGTTCATCGTATATGATTTGCATGATTACATAATATATGCACTTAACCGGCTCAAAGTGTAGGGTAGTAACGTAACCCAAATTAAATATTATATTATATAATTATAGTATTATGAACTATCGCCTACAGTATAAAGGTGATTATCAGTTTTATAGCTGTTTCAGATTTGATGTTTAAAAATTTAAAATAGAGTAAAGATTGAGAGGAATATTAAAAGATTTAAGAATGTTAAATAGAATTTGTCGTTTAAACTGCAGGGCAAGACAGTTAAATAAAATATGAGGTAGGTCACAGATACACTCATTTGAATGAAGTGTACAAAGATATTGCAGTGAATACGAGTATCATAAATATTCAGGATATTGTTGACGAATGGTATCACTTCAAACATTGGCGTGTAAGAAGGTGAGCTTCAGACTAGTATCAAATTACAAAGTGTACAACTAAATATAATATGTATGGTTTTAATATAAATAAATTTAGTAATACATAAAGAACTCGTTTGTCAAATAAGTAAAACGAGTTGATTTTATTTCAATAAGAGCGAGATAAGAGAAGAAAAGATATCTTTTTACCATGTTGAAGTATCAAAATCCAATAGTCTATTATTTGACATTTACAAAGATCAAGTCAGTGATCATGGATTTGGAACATATGGAGACTATTGTGATTTGTTTAAATGTTCGTATAGTTAGTGACACTAATTAATATTAATCATTCAGCATTAAAAATTTCCTAGTGTAACAAATACCAGATCCAATATTACATCTATTTTATAATTTATTAAAAAATGTTAAGGACTGTAATCGTTCGTATAAACATTTTAATTGCTAAAAAGTTACTAGTTTGAAATTTGAATTAGGTAACAAAATTAAAGTTTTCAAAAAATGATACAAAATAATTCACAATTAATAGGAGGCATCTCCTTTCAATCACCATATGGAAGGTATAAGTTGTACAAAAAATGTCAAGAATTTTAATGAAAGTTCCAGGTGTCCACAAATGTTATTTTAAAATTAAAAAAATAACTAAAATTGTTATTTAATGTCAAAATACCTTTGCAATTTCATTATGTTCTACAAAAAATGTCAAGAATTTTAATGAAAGTTCCAGGTATCCACAAATGTTATTTTAAAATTAAAAAAAAAAACTAAAATTGTTATTTAATGTCAAAATACTTTTGCAATTTCATTCAAATTTGAATTAAAACTATTTATAAAGAAAACTATATTTAGGTACATCTTTTACGTATATTTTTGGTTATATAAACTATAGTATAAGCTATTTAAGATATATTATAACAATTTAAATTGTCAATCCATGCTATAGAAATTAAACAATAATGCACTTTTAGCTACAAAATTATTTGCAAATTTTAGTTGAGTTAAGAAGATAGTATGAAAACCTAATAATAAATTACCAAATATAAAAAAACAGTACATTTAATAGAAATAAAATAGTTATAAATTATCATTTAACTTACAAAAAAGGAGTATATTTTTATGAAAAAAAAACATATTTTGTAAATGCTATACATGAGAGGCTTTTCAATGGCTATTAATTTATAATTTACAAAAATCTTTTAATGAAACTTTCAACAACTTTCAAATCAATGGAAAATCAATTAAGATATTATAATACATTATAAGGAACATCTAAATAATGTATGAAAATAAAATCTTGAATGCTAACAATTGTAAAAATGCTGTGTCAAATTAATAGCCACTGCTCTGGCCGTAGTCTGAGTAAAATCCATCGACGCTGTGACTATACTCCATTTACTGGTGTATAGGCATGTGAGGTTTATTCTGGATGTTGAGTGGAATTGGCCTTTCTGTCTTGAGGAAATGAAAATTTAATATCTCAACAGCATAATTTTTGCCTTAAAAATTATACATAAATACAATTATAAAATATAAATTAATTCACAAAAAAAAGACAGTCTAAGAAAAAACTTACATTTAAGACAATTCTCAATGAGAGGTTCTTTCATAACTTTTCCTGATATGTAATGTTTTGATATTAATGGCAAACGTACGTGTTCCATTAATAGGGGTAATTTACATTGTCTAGAAACTAATTCATGTTTTACCCAACGAATAACTCATTCAAATACCTAAATTATAAAATATATACTATTAAATTTAATAGACTACATATATGAAAGAAGGTTACTGCATTTTTCCTTCCCCAATACTTAAACAATAATCAATTTCTCAGTTTGCCTACTTTTTCTTCAGACGTAACTACAACTTCATCATCGGAGATTAGCTTAACCACTTGTTCGAATGATAAGGATAGGAATTCATCACAATTAATGACTTCTCTAAAAAATAAAACAGGAATATTAACAATAAAACAAATAATTTTTTTCTTGGACTTAAATAGTAAATTTATTTCATACATAAAGTGATGTTGAATATATAATTCCGAAGTTGTAAACAATTTGGTACAGTTATATAAATCTGCCAATGCGTTTGTATCGATACAATTTGCAGGGCTAAGTTTTGACTGTAAAAAATCACAACACGCCCCTTTTACTTCTTGTAATTGTAAGAAATTTGCAGCTGGTAACAAATTCTTGAGAAATAAATAAAAAACTATATAATTAATTTTGTTTTTTGTAATAAAATCAAACTTTATCTCTTATTACCTTTACGTTTTGTGCAGTGACTATGATTTCCCCAGAATAAATAAAATTCACTAAGAGCTTTAAAGCGGTTGAATCTATTTGACGCATGACTACAAGATCATGATTCCTTTCAGCAAAATTTGTAAACATTGCATGGAAATATGGGCAAGCCGAGGCTAAAACTACTTTATGTGCGAGCACTATTTGCTTATCGTCTGTTTCAAGTTTAATATCGCAAAGATCATTATTTCTAAAAAAAAAAATGTGTCAGGTGCTTATATTTATCAAGCAATTTAATTCACTTAACACTTACTGGCGCAGAGATTGAAATCCTTCAATTAGCCCTGTATATGATGATGTTTTAAA